TGTCAGGTTCGTCAAAGCCGACATGGGCTTGTGTGACTGAACCCTTTTAGGTAGAATTGGTAACATAATCGGTCAGAAAGAAAAAAAAATAAAGGAGAAAAAAACGTTAAGACACTAGAAGACCACAGTAAATGTCCACTTCATTGGTACTAATCAATATAAATTATTTGAAGAAAACAGGAGAAAAAAAGAGTTAAAATTGGTTTGTCCGTCTGGTCACAGGACATTAAAAAAAAATCGACACAAAACTTTGAGGCACAGAACTTCGGGATGAGGAGTCTAGCAGAGTGAACAAAAAAGGGCGCACTCACACGGCTCGTCTGTTCACAGCACATTCAAAGATCGACACAAAATATGAGGGACAGAACTTCCAGGTGATGAGTCTCTCGGAGTCATAGAAACATACACCACAGAAATGTGAAAAAAGAGACAGTTATCCTTTTTCTTTTAGTATATCCATATGACGGAGGCGCTCTTTTAGTTTTTTCTTTGACGTAAGGTTCCAGAGATCTGGTGGTAATTGATTAAAAATGTCTGGAGCCTAGAATGAACGCATAGTTTTGCCATACCGTGAGTAACATTTCGGGACGAGATATTTGGAAACGTTCCGTAGTTGCCGTGAGACGAGACGAGGAGATTTAAGGCCGGTTCTCACATGCAGCGAAGCGCTGATGTAGCGCTCCTCACGTGCCGTCAGCTACTTATCGTCTGCCATGAGCAACAGTTTTGGCGGTGCGATACAAAGCTGGTGACTGCTCCCGTCAGCACGCGCTTAGCGCGAGGTAAGCGCTCTGCTTGTTGTACTCCGCTGCATGTGTGAACAGGCCTTTAAAGTCGTCAGACCAGTAGTGCTTGATCACAACTGTTTCTAAAAAAAGAGATCTAAAGTTCGGCATTGACAATGTCTCAGAAAGGTCTAATAATAATAATAATAATAATAATAAGGTGATGGTAATAATGATTATGATAGTGATGGTGGTGGTGGTGATGATGAAGAAGATGATGATGATGATTATAATTTAAGTATAGAAGTTTGATTGCAAAACAGCAAACGTTGTAATGATTGTGGCACAGCCAAAGATCACGTGAGACGAACGAACAAATGACCGTCGTGGCGTCGTCCAACAATCGTTTCTCCCCAGTGTTTGCAGACGGTCATCGGCCGCTTGCGTCGTCTGGCATCTGTTCACGGGCTGGAGTTGGCAGAGAACAGAAGGCGCGCTTAGTTATGGACATTGTTATAGTTAGGTTATCGTCGTCATTAGAGCGATTTGACACGAGCCACTAGCCGAATACTTGTCGAGCTATATCACGTGCTCCAATCGAGTGCTCACGCACCCGATGCTCGGGTCCAATCTACGAACCGCGTTCAAATATCGTCCCAGGGACGATACTGCGACCCCCACGCCACGTCAGCGGTTCTCGCGAAGGAAAACTGAATGAAAATGCTCGCTTCTTGAAATTCTGCCGCAACAAAGACGTCTTTTGGTCAGTGGCGTTCTGTACGAGTATACTCGGGCATTATTAATGCGAATATGCTCGTGTAAAGTGAAATGCATTCCAACTGAATATCGCTGCACCGCCCCTTCAATGCCTGTCTACTAGACCCTAAACAAAACAGAAGCGAATCCTTTGGTTCGCAAATAGATTAAAAAAAGAAAAGCTACATTTTGTTAACTGAACAAGTATATTCACCCATCAGAAGAAAGCACAAGTCGCACGTGGTACATTTCCCAGAAATCATCCGCGTCACAGTAATGTAATAGGGGTTTCTTTTCTGCGAAGAAAAATTAATTCGATAATTCATCCAGCGTTTCGGCACAACCTCCTAACACCCGAATGAAACGCCTACAAACTTTTTTGCGTGCTCGTCCTTTGTCCACCTGTGCTCTGCTTATGATCAGGATAAGTTCGGGACGAGTTCTGCAGAATATGAATGTTTTTTTTTTGTTTTTTTTTGTACGCGTGTGCATAGCGTGAAAACGTCGCGCAGATCCCTTCTTCACTACGAGCTTCATTCAAACTTCACCAGAGGGCAGCGCGTCAACAGCGACCCATTGAGGCTTTATGTCAAACGCAGCGTTTCGTCGAGTTCCTCCTGTCAGAAAAGTTGTTCACAAGCACTCACGTTCGAAATTCGAATTGGGAACGATCGCAGCACGTCCGTGCGATCGTTCCCAATTCCGTGCGCGCGGAGAAAAAAACGTTTGGACGACGAGAAAAAGGGCGCGCAGGAACGAGAACCCAGCCCTCGTCTTTGCTTTCTTTATTTTGCTTTGCCAGGCTTCACTCCTCCACTTTTTCGCGCGGGCCATCCCCCAAAAACGCGGGAAAAATTGCGCGCGCTTTCTACCGCTACTCGGTTTGAGGACAAGCCGCCGACGTTCGACGCGCTGGCCAAGCATCATCGTCATCGCTATCGAGAAGTTGGGCCGCGCGGCCGGACTTCTTCAAGCGTGCCTGAAGGTTCTGTCCGCCCTGCAAAGCGACGGCAGAACCCCGCATTTAAACCGCAGATTTGGCAAATGTCTGAGAACCAAATATATATATATATATTTTTTTCTCGTATTTGCGGTGGCTGGCTCATGCCTGCTGCAGACTCACGGCAGTCAGGACGAATGAATGCGGACGACGTAGATGTATTCGACAAAACAAGCGCACTACAAATCCGACTCGTCGTTTTTTTCTTTTTTTTATTTCTTACTTTTTACTTTACTGTTCCACGTTTCGCTTTTTTTTTTTTTTTTTTCCGAACAAAAAAATAAGCAGGAGACTCAACAGCGCTGTCTTTAGAGAGTACAAGAAGGATCTTCCCGTTTTTAGATCGCTGGACGACACGAGCTCGATGCACGGGGAGAAAAAGAAAAATCATCAAGTAGGGATACGAAAGCGAAGAGCTACAACGACGTAGGGAAACAAAATAAGGAAAAAAGCGAAAAAAGGGATTTGCTGGCGTCGGCGAGATTCGGGATTAGATCGAACCCCCCCCGATTTTATTTTATTTTCGTCATCTTAGTATTTTTATATGTTTAGAGGCCGAAAGTGCGGCTCTGCTACCGTCCTTCATCCTTCCTTTCTCCTTATTTCGTTCCGCATTTGGTGTAAAAGTTGTTTTGTTGGCGCTTTTGCGTCGTTTTATTCCCCGCTTTTCAGCCTTCCTTCGTGAAGAGGACGTTCTCGCAGCGTAGCGAGCCCTCTTAGTAGGCAATGCGTGCTTTCGGGTTGTAAAACATCCTTTTGTTCATGGATGTCGCGTTTTCCCTAATGGTGTTGGCCATCCCTGCCGACGCTCCAACTTTCACTCTCTTCGAAAAGGATGAGCGTGATTTCTGCTCTCCACTGGACTCGCGTGCCCAGATGATAGAGCGTTTTCAACTTCTCGGTGGGGTCGTGTGGTTTACGGGCAGCGTTTGCAACGCAGGATTTCCGGAGCAATCGTCCGCAAGCGTCTCGGCCCGGTTTCCTTCCGGGACAAGGCCACGCATGCGCACTTGGGACCAATATGCGGACGAGGCACTCGCCATTACATTGCAAACGCTGAAGTGGTTTGAGTTACTCCTTCTCTTTCATCGAGGCTCCCAACGCAGGACAGCGGTCTCTTGTGCCCCCTTTCTTGTTTCCCGTTGTCCGTCGTATAGATGGCGTTGTATATACGTAGAGACGTCGGGGGGTGAGTTTTGCTGGGAGCTCGCTGTATACATGCATGAAGATCCGTGCCGGCCTCCTTCAGGCAGTCGTCGAATAACAACTCCCCCGCTTGGCTGCCCCGGCCACCCGCGAACAACAACACCGTTAACGAAAGCAAATAATCCGAAAAGAAAGAGAAAAAAAACTTGGAGGAATAAACGGTCGGATTAAAAGATGCAGACAAGGTATACACCAGAATAGGCATGAAGGGAATTGGAAGGGGGGCCAAAGGGGGGCCGCATTTAAACAAAGAGCGCACAAAGAAATCTAGATAAGATTACGAAAACAAGAAAAGTAAAAGAGGGAGTGTATACATCTATAGAGGAACGCAAATGGATGGAAGCAGAAAAAGAAGGGACTCTCTTCCCGAATAAATCTCGTTTGGTCTCGCGAGAATAAAAAAAAAAGGAGCGAGAACGGAGCTCGCCGCTTCGTCATTTGTTTCTCCGAAGAGAGTGGAAACAGCGTGTTCTGCTGTCGATCGCATTGAGTTCACAAAAAAAAAGAGACAATATAATATTTAAAAAAGGAAGGCCAAAAAGAGCACTCCGGACCAAGTAGTTTTTATTCGCTATGTTCTCGGAGATGGAGAATTTCAAAATGGAGGTTACAAAAAAAAAGGAACCCCATATTTTTTTTTCTTCCCCCCTCGCAGTATCTTGAAAGCAGATGCGCGCGAGTGTGAAAAGGGATGTTCACCTCCTTAAAATCGCCGGCGAAAATGGGCGCAAAGAGGGTGACCGGACGCTGCGACTGCTCTGTAGGGGGCCCATCGCAGCGGTACGCTGACTGCAGTATGCCTTCGTGCGTCTTGCGCTCCCGCGATAACGGAATATGCAAGAAGTAGAAACGTGTTTTTTTTTTTTTTCAGGGTAACTAATTAATTTCTCGCGAAATAACGTAATTCATTATTGAACTGATAAGTGAATGGGGTAAAACAAAGTGCGCGTATATTAATTTATCATCATTTCCTACATGGATAGTCTTATTAAACGAATGATTTCGTATATTCAACTGTATCCGCCATGTCGATGTAACCAATAATAACTTTGTTACGCCAACTTGATCACGTAACAAATGATATATTGGGATTGTAAGAAGTCTACGATACATTTTGGAAGCATAGAACTACATTACTGTTTCTACGTGTCTCGAAACGTTTAAAACTAATCATTACCTTACACTTAAGCTTTGAAGTTTTGAAAATGTAAATGCTGAAATAAGATTTATTTTCGCATTTGTATTTTCCAAACTTCAAGGTGTAAATGAGTCTACTCAGATTCCATCCGCCATTGCTGCCCTCCTGTCTCCAGATGCCGAGCCACTGAAGCAGGCGTTGGCGAGCCACCAGAACAAGGCCAACGCTGGGCAGATGGACGCAACAGAATCCAAAATGGCAATAACCTGACCTGCTGTGGTAATGATGAAGTGAAACGAACGCTACAAGAGGAAACAAAACCTGAAGGTCGGTTCTGGCGGCGCCCATGCCGAGCTGCTGCAAAAGCGTCTGTGACAACACTGGAGAAGAGGAACGAGCAACGTGCCTGAAGTGTGCTTCCTCTCAAGCGGACTTCAATTAGTCACTAGCCGGTATCAACAATCAGCTCTTTTTTCCCGCCGGTAAGAGCATGCGTAGATGTCATAAACAAAATGTTGGTTGGACGAGTCTTGGCCCTCTTGTTGTGACATACGGTAAACGAACGACGAGAGACGATGGAGCTGGAACGAAATAACCAACAAACTAACAAAAGTTAAAAGATGATTCTGTCATCACGATAGACTGTTTCTCAAATTCAGTGCCATCTAGTGGCTGAAATATCAGTACACATAGTTGCATGCTAATGGCGCATAAAATCTGGCACCTATTCATCAACGGTAGACTTACGACAGTAGCGTTTTTTGTTGTTTTTTTTTCGCTGAACTGATATTATTCTATTTTGTTTCAATCTTGATGGTGTCAAGAAACGAACATCTGTACGAGGCGCCTATAGTTGAGTAAAGCTCTAAATTCATTTCAAAGACTTACGTGACAGCCTCAAATGCTTTGCGCGTAGAAGCTTATGAGTCTCGTCGCGGTGACATGGAACGACAGTAGAGCCAACTAAAGTCGGGATGCTCGGGTCCTCATCGATTTCTGCCTTCATAGTCTTCCTCCACCAGCCACCAAGAGGCCGCCGTTCGCATGTACAGGTGACACGCACTTAGGTGATGATAACTGTCCAAGTGTACAGACTGAATTTCGAAAAGAGTCTTTTCGGCTGGGATCGCAACCACTGAATAAATTTTAAAAAAAGAGGAAACCAACACAGCTCATAGTTCTCGAATTATCTAAAACGTCCCAGATAAAGAAAAGAAGAAAAAAAAACGAAAAAGGTTTAATTTTATAAACGATTTAGCAACCTTATACAAAATATATTGGCGTCAATGTTCGATGACACCAGGATTAAATTTTCCTAGACGTATAATGCCACATTCATAAGCGGGAAAAAGTGCTAATTTTTGGCTGCTGCATTGAGCTCTTTCTTTTTTTTTTTCTTCTTTCTAAGTTATCGAAAACGTGCTCGTAAAGTAAAGGCGAACGCCGACGCACACATACACAAGAAAACAAAAACGGAAAAAAAAAAAAAAACAGAAAAATAAAAACGAACGGGAAGTCGGCAATCACGAAGCACGGAACGTCTGAAAAAGAAAAAGTAGTTTCCGCCGTAAAATTGACGCATTTGGTCCTTTCATAAGGCCGCAATGAAAAAGAGGGGCAGTGGCCGAAATTTTACAACCCGTGTTTCGTGGTGCGACCGCCAGAGGGCGACACCCAACCGAAAGCAACCGTGGGGGCGGCCATTTGTCACGGATCCTTCGTTCGGTCGTATATCCATCCGACCGTCGTCTCCAAAGAAAGCGCCGTAAAGATGACGAAGCAGAAACCAACGTATTAAAATAAAAGAGATTCCCCATCGAAAGAGAGAAATCGGCACGTCGAATTTAAACGAGCTCGTAAAAGAAGCGTCAAATTTCAACCTCTAGATTGCGAGACAGCCAAGCGCCTTATAAACCCAAAGAAGCGCTCTAATAGAATCGGTGCTCCAAACTGCGACGGGGTTGAATTCAATTCCCGCTTCAGGCTTGAGCTCAATCAAATTAAGAAGGACACCAAGGAAGAGGTTCGCGCTGCAATAGACCTTTCCGTAAATATCTGATCCTCCAGCGTCTGCTTTACGTATTGTGACGTTCGTATGTACGGCCCGTAAAATTATCAACGAAGCGAAGTTGACGTCGGGTCGGTAGATCCTGATTTCAGAACGCGGAGAAGGCGGAAGGAAAGCAAAGAAGTGTGTGTCGTAATCTTCTTTTCCGTTCGCTTAATTTTTTGCGTGTATTCTGAGCTCCTAACGATAGGAAAGAATGCGTGGAACGCTTGGTGAGATTGGTCTATTCTTCAAACTAGATAGCCAATGTGAAAAAAATGAAATAACATTGTCTAGGCTTTCAATAGTGAGCTCGCTGGTAAAACAAAATGCATATACGATTCCATATCTCTATGATGGTGCAATTAATATATTGCATTTCTTGCGTCTTGACTAGGACACTTAAGACGAAAAAAATTCCAATATCTTAATTGCACCATCATAGAGATATGGAAGCATATATGCATCTTTTAGGAGCATTAACGTTTAGTTGCTAGTAGCACGCCGCTTGTCTTTTTTCATTTTCCTTGCAATATGTTTTTTTTTTTTTTGCTTTTTTTATGATTCCTCGAAACACTTTTTTTAGTGTCGTGTTCGTGTCTGGCCCGTGTAGCAACACACTTTTATACCCCTGTTACACGGGCACACTTAACCGCGGTTAACTCAGCTTTAACTTCGGTTACGTGGCAGCACAGATGCCGCACCATACCCTCGGACAGCTATTTCAAAAGAAGTGAAGAGAGCGCGTGCACTGCTTTGATGGGTGCTCAAGATGCTCAAGCGCACGTTCGCCCATAGCTCTGAGTGCATCGCCGCAGAATGTTGTCGGAAAGTATTGTGCGCTAACTGTGGTTTAGCGTAACTGCAGTTAAGTGTGCCCGTGTAACAAGGGTATAACAGTACCTTATTACCGAAAGAGAACACACGTAAACAACGCTTTACAAAAAAAAAAAAAAAAAAAAAAAACCGATGTTGCGGGCAAGAAAGTCACTCCGCACGCGCCTGCCCTTCATTGTAATTTTAGCTGGAAGATGCGCGTGTGAACGTGCGATACGTTGCTTGTTTTCTTTGTTCTTTTCAATAAGTAAAAAGCGAGCTGGATCTCCTTCAAATGACAATGGACGGCCAGCGCGTGACATAGGAAGCAGCTATCACGAGTGGAAGTTAGGCGTGTGAATGTGTGCACCATGTCTCGGCTCGTGCGGGGAAGGTCGGTCAATTTCAAGCTTGCCAAAGCTGGCAGACATGCTGGCACGCACGGGGAAAGAGTGAGGCACCATGCTTGCAATTGTCTACGAGTCAAAAAAAGAGTAGCCGCGAGTCAGCGCTTGTTTGGTCGTATACTGCGCTGCTATTCTGCGCTGTCTTTGTTCACCGTGTATAAAGACTATACCAACTAGCGCAGATTTCAACTTTGTTGGTCTCGGTTAACTCAAAAACTACCAGTTTTATTACGATGCTTATAGCATATTAACGCTAGTGACATATAAAGTCCCCATTAAAAGTTTATATCCAAACGTTTCGTGCGAAAAAGAAAAAAAAATCTTTACAGCTTGTAGTAATTTATTTTTCTTCTTTTCAAGAAACATAAAGATATATTGTAACAGTCCGCATCGGCGGAGAGATAATTGGAAATATGATGCTCAGGATCAAAACACAGTCACTGAAGGAAGCGGTTCCTCTTCCCAAAAAATGTATGAATAAAAAGACAACGCCAAGAAGAACAACGAAGAAATAAAGTTTGATTCGGAAATTTCATTATGAGCACGCAGTAGCTGTATTAACTCTTCAATGAATAAGCTCGTCGCTATAGTATACACGTCAAAACACCATCCACAACGATCATCTTTATATTTTTCCCCTCGTCCCGCCTCGAGTATTTGTGTTCATCAATTTTATAATCTTCTTTTTGATTCGGGCTCTAGCATATTCGATCGAGAAGGCAGCTGGAGGGTGAAATATCCATCTCTCCGAGGCTCCAGACACACACATGGCTGCAACGTGTGTATCAGATCCTGGCAGAGCGCGCTCACCTCGTACGCGCACACCAAGTGGCAACAACCGCGAAGAGAGCGACGAAGATGCCGAGGAAGATGGGACGACTGATTGATCGGAGTCCTACGTATTTATTTCTGCCCTCCTCGCGTCCGCGAAGGGAACCAGGCATCCAGGAGCAGTAAGGCAGGATGACCTTATCCTGGGTTCGATCGATGGCGCTGCATTCGCCACTCTAAGGGGAGCCTAAGGGATAGCGCGGAGCAAGTTTTAAGAAAGATCCGAGGGACATGGACTTCTTAGTCCCCTCAAATACTCGCTTATCGGGGCTGCAGGACAACCGAATGCCTTGCCGGCTCGTGCACGATCAAAAGCCGGACGACTAATGCAGGGCGGCGTCCATATGGAAAGCAATCCTCACTACTTAGGAGTGTTAAAGAGGACAGCTAACGACCGAGAAGATGCATCCATGAAGTGTTTACGGATGTTTACGCGGCAAAAAAGAAAAATCTGAAAGCTTTTTGTTATATATATAACGGAGAATTTCGTTATACGTACACAATTCATCGAGCGAAATTGGTGCAGAACAAATTTCAAAGTCAGGATTGGTCGTACGTATTCTGGGGCAGCCCCCAGATGAGACGACGCGCGCGAAAACTCTAGAGGGATACTTTTACAAAGTGCAGTGTGACTGCTCCACCAGATACAATGAAGGTTTACCGCTCGAATGTTTCTGAGCGAGCGCACGTTTATGTGCTGCAACAGCATTTCGCCGTAATCTCCATGGTATATTACTTTGGTAGCTAGATCTGTGTTTACTTTTTTTTTTGTTTTGTTTTGTTGCTGTTTAACACAAAGAAGGCAATGAGTTGTTTGTGGATCCGCCAAAATACAGGTTCCTACAATTATATGTAGAAATCGACCGAAGTTAGAAACGAACCCATAATGGTTAACAACCGACCACGCGTTTTCTCTTTCTGCGCGTTGCCAGAATGAATGGGCTACTCACACCGCCGAAAATTACGGCGCTGTCTGCGGGCTCCTTTCTTTCCTAGTCGCATTTTGTGTGCGCTAATTTTATCGGTTGAAAGGATTACACGTTACTATTTGGCCTGCTTGCAGCACATATCATACAGCATACTAGTCAACAATACGAAAGGAAAAAGATTTCCTCGCTTTTCTGACGTTTTTTTTAACATTTTATGGTCCCGACGTGGGCTAGAACGGAAAGTTGAGATACCAAGCTACATACTGTTTGACAGGTTTAGGGAAGGTTGTGGGAGCAGTGTAACTGGAAAGAAAAAAGATGAACCGTTCCCGTTTATAGTTGGGAGCTTTGTAATTGTTACAAAAAAGCTTGCTTTAACAATAGATTTAAAATGGTGAAGGAATTTTAGATGAAAAACGAAATCAGAAA